TGACAGTCTGATAAACTTTTCCGTACATTTGTCGCTATAAACTGAAGATTTTATCTGGTATACAACAGCTGATGTCTCTTACCATTGTAGAAAATATTTTTTACGCTAAAACTTCACGGTTCCGCCGAAGACTTTGATCATAAAATACGACATATCCAGGTAGTTTTGTCCGTTAAGGGTCATGGGAATTTTATGACAATACGTTTAACTTTTAGTTTTTTAATTTTAAATTTATTTCGCATTTTGACTTAAACTGTCAAATACCAAGCGGTCACCGGTGACCGCAACCTATTGTTCTATAATTGTGTCTGCAAAACCGGTACTCGACGAGTTAAAATGGTTATTTGAACTAATACAAAACCTTCAATTAACTGACGAGTTGATGATTCCGCGGTTAACTAGACACTAAGACAGTTTTTGTTGTTACTACTTACTACACTACCTAGGTTCATATTCGAACCAAGTTCTATGATAAACTTCTAATTAGGTAACTAGGGAATCTGAAAATAGCTATCGTCAGACAACGAAACATTTACAGATAACAGTAAAAACTATTGCGTTTTAGGTTCATTTTGCTATAACAAAATATGGAAAGAACGTTTAATAACAGACTAGTTAAACCAAACTTTTTTATTTTGGAATAACCGTAGTTACTAACCACGGGTGTGACTCAAAACTATCGATCGACTAGCGTCTAGACCGAACTGCAGACAATTTTGTTTGCATAGACAGGAACACGCCATTTCTTTTCTAGTTAAGTACTTATTTACCTATTAGATTGATCTAAGGATTTTAAAGCACGATTGGATCTTAAAATTTTGTATCTAAAATGAGATATTAGAAACGAAACATTTTTCAACCTAGTTAAGACAATCATAACGACACATTTGTCAAAAACTTGTTTGCGAATATTCTTTTAATTTGTAACTTATCTCTGATAATCCAGGCATCTAGGTGGTAACTACTTACCTTCTAGTTGTTTAGACGCAATATTTCCAAAACTAGGTCCTTGAACTTGGAGCTAAAGAAACCGTTTCGCTATTGAATCGATAAACCATTAGATATGAATATCACAATAACACTAGGCAAGTCATTTGGGGCCGATTTTTCCAACCCCAGATCAATTTTCACTGAGGAATAGAGGAGTTAACTTTGAATACCTATTTGACAATTCTTCCATAGGTACCTACTAAAAACTGTGAAATGTAAATTTCATACTACAGTTAAAAAATAACTGATCATCTGAAAATCGTCCCTAGAAATTTAATACGGATAGGTTTTGATTACGCTGAAATACTCAAACGCTACTGAATTCTAAGTCGTGCTTATGAGTACCTTTTTTTTGTTTTTTTTTTGGTGACTGGGGAAACCTTTATCAGGCTCCTATCCTTTTTGGGGATAAAAGACTAGGCAGTGTGGGATTTTTACCTCACTAAAACCACCCCAGAGGCCACCCTTAACACCTGAATGGAGGCACCGGGTCCTCTAAAAGGGAGCTTAAGTATACCTAGTTCTGTCACTACAAATTCTTTTTAAAATATCAGAGATGGCATAACATTTAAGTACCTACAACTTAAAATTAAGTACCCTTTCAGTATTCAGGCGTTACGCGTTAGTCAATAAAACTAGACTATAGGTATCAAGTGTTAGTACTAAGTGCACCTGCTAATTATGATGCTATGAAACCTTGTTAGGACATCGCGAGGAATGATAACATTAGCGTCTTTAGTTCACATTTGCTATTATGTAAATTGAGGTAGACACATCTAGGTACATGATACAATAGTATTCATACCTAGATAAAAGGGTACGTCTATTAACTCTTAAATTAATTGATTTATAATTCAAGCAATTTTATATACCTTTTATATTTAATAGGCCTATGTTTGACTACTGTCTATCTCGCTTGTACCTGTAGGTAGACCTCAGTTTAAGCTTTCTACGTCTAGGAAACAATCTAAGAACTGTCATGGTACTTACCTACCTAGTTGTTGTTTTTATTTTTAGTTTCCGATTATACAATTTATCGGCATATTATCCTATTAGGACCCCTTTTTTGTTTTATAAGGGGGGGGAAATGATCAAATGGCTACTCCTGCCTAGGTGAGGCGGGAGGGAGTGTCAGACTCTTAATGACTGAAAACCACCCCGTTCCTTCTTCTGCACTTCGAGCTGGAGCTCCGGTAACCTTTTAGGTTCTTGGCGGCTCCGTATCGGCATCAGCCCTATTGGGCTGTATAGGTTGTAATAAACTATTTAACTCGTCGAGTACCGTCATTATAGACACAATTATAGAACAATAGGTTGCGGTCACCGGTGACCGCTTGGTGTTTGACAGTTTAAAATACTATGTATATAATAACTTAAGTTGGGTATCCTAACTCGACTCATGGGTATTAGCAGAATGTAACTCGCGACCTGTTTAAGCATCTGAATAGCACTTTGGCATTTTATCTAAGTTATTCTAAGAACTCTGCAGACAATTATTGTGAAGCTATGTCTAACATGTGCTTAACAGCTGACGTTGTTTGAAGGAAGGGGCATGCACGGGCAATTTCTGTGAGTATCTACAGTTTAATGTCGAAAAAAACTGATGAATTTTATAAATCGATATAACTGCATAGTTATCTACTCCCTGTATGTATGTATTGCTGAAATATTGTAAATGTTGGTGTTAATTGATAAACTTTAATGAACTCCTGTCGATCGACAGTCTTCGAAGACTTCGAAGTCGGTTGATTAAGAAGGCATTGCCATTAATAATATCTAGTAAAACTAAGGTAACTCATTCAAGTGGATTGAATAATTTTGTTATTGTAGGTTATTATTACGTAGGGTAGTTACAAGAAAAATATAGGTAGGAAATCTCCATAACATAATATTATGATCAATCTTTGACATCGAGTTTCTTACGACACGCTCCAATAGGAATTTCAATACAAAATAGGAATACACAATTAAAGTAATCTTTATTTTCTAACAGACTGTACTTTATTTACAAATTGTTTCTATTTGCCATTAGTTGCTAGCCACATGTCTGGCACAAAAAACACAAGAACTAGGCGGGAGCCTGTTGTAAGACCAATAACGTAGTATTTTATAATTTATCAACTAGAACCCAGTTTACATACCAAGTCCGGTGTTATGAATTTATAATGAATCGCTTTAAAATCTAGTTGGTTTGCTATCTGAAGGTAACTAGACGTTAGTTACTGACCTGATATCCTAAAGTCAGGATCTACAGGCGTAGGAACAGGTCCAGGAGTCAATTCAGGACGAAGTTTTCTTAGACCGGCCACCACCCGTGGTGCCGGAGATTGTTCTCCTACAAGCATCGCCAATTCACAACATTGCACATAAAAACACTTTCCACGACACCATAGTCACAAATCATCACTAAATATTCACAATAAACCATTCAGTTTTACTATAAAAATATTTGTTTACAATTTTTCTCGTTCACGTCAAATCAAAAACAATAACTGTCAAATTCGTATTTTTAAAATTCGAACTTCGTTACAAATTGCGCGCAGCACATTTTACGTCGTTCGGTCTGTACGACTCGTCGTGGTGTCACTGGATTACCGACTGGCCGGCCGGCCGGCGTGTCAATGAATGAATCGAGTTGATTTGCTGCGCGCCCCACTTTACTCCGCTACTACCATTCTACTACGTACGCGTACATAAACAAGAAGTCTTGCTGAATACAGCTCCTGCCATCTAGCGGTGAATAGCAATCAAATTAGTTTTAAATTTTACTTGGTTTCTTAGTATATTTATTAATCTTTCATAGATAGAGGTATAATGTAATGATTAGATAGCATTTTTTATATTTTTTAATACTTATTAAATTAAGTCTACTTACATTTTGTAATTATTAACAAGTGATGTGCAGTGCGTAAAGAAAAAAGTTAAAAAATGTCAAAAACATTTTAATAATATTATTATTAGTTTATTTAATTTTGCAGGTTTATGTTTCATTTCTACAATCTTTTAGGAAATTTGTTCTCGGGTAGCTGCGGCATCTATTGGGCAGTAGAAATATCAAAACTGAATGTGGCGTGTGTCTACTGCTGCCATCTATGGTATGTACATGAAATTGCAGATAACAAAGATAGATGGCAGTAGTGACCATTGCCGTATAACGCCACCTAGTGGCATCTACAACAATTGCTGATAAGGAGTAACATGGTACCTGTCAAAACTAGGTAATGTAATTTCTGTGGGAATATTAATGCAAACGTATAAAATAGAGGACGCTTTATTTAATTAATTTTATTCATAGAGGGCATTAGGCGTCATATAGACAATGGAATGGGCGATATCAAAATAATGTTGGTAATTTATAAATATTTTATATTATTCTAAAAATAAAAATATTTTACAAAAATTATATCAATGTATTTACTACAGTAATTGGTGTAGTTGGTAAATTTTAAATATATTTCTGTCTACCGCATTTATGATTAAAAAGCGTGATGTTAAGTTACTAACATACATACATAACCTCACGCCTGTACCCCACGGGGGTAAGCAGAGGCTACGGAAAGCCAATTGCTAGGATTCTTACATACGTTAATAATTACGTCGAAATGGTTTACTAATTAGCGCATTTATTCTAAAAACTTTAGGTTACCTACTTAGAAAGTGCGACTATTTTTGTTGTACAATTAATTATTTGTTTACTTTAGGTCTATAGGTAGTGTATTATTGACCTGATTAAAGCGACTAACTATATTATTTTGATAGGTATAGGTACAATTTGATGTCATTTTATTACTGTAGGTAGGTATACCCAGGACAGTCGGAACTTTAGTTTGTTATCTTATTCTCTAGTCTAATTTATCTCATTTTTGTTCAGATCTATAGGTGAACTTATCTATTGTTTAGTCACCCTATTGCAATTTCCAAAGAGTTTTGGTGAAGTAAATTTCTTGTAGGTAAGTACTTCAGTTCTTTTTACAACAAAGGTTTTTAGGAATCCAAACACGAAATTCGATACATACATCATTTATTATTATGGTCATCAATCATTATTGTACATACATGGAAGACTGCGCATGTCTACATGAATACAATTTTATAGGAAGACATCGAGATCAAACAAATGGCACATAAATAAGTTCAATACACATAAACAATTTAAAGCAAACATAAGGCACTTAACGGACTAACGACTACCTAAACATACATAAGTTAAAACAAATTAAAGCTTTTTATGGAAGAAGAGACTATTAATATCACAATAGGCGAGTGACTGGACGCTGGAGGACACATCACCACGGGCGCCATTTGCTGTCCTCGTCCGCCGGTGGTCCCTCACCATGCCGTTCTTTTTTTTCATCGTAAAAAGCCTCGAGTTGACGACGGGCGGCCTCCTGCTTTTTGTACTCTTGGTACTCAATCAATTTCCTTTTCTTTTTAGGCGGTAGGTTGCTGTAATCCATCGGCAATTCGCAGTGTTCCGGAAGACTGGGTGTCACCTCAACTTTGCTCTGGAGAGACGCGTCTAATTGATTAGCGACCGAGCATGCGACGGGTTTTTTCGGCGAGTGCGCCGTCTCCGTCGCCTTCGCTGGTGATCTAACCTTCCGGAGGTCTAGAGTGTCGCTGCTCGTGTTCGGTGGCGAGTATTGGTACGAGTACTCAGCTCTGTACGGCTCCTCTCTGTGTAAATATTTTGGTTCGGCCGCTGGCTCCGCGCTCATATTCACGTCAACGTTGTCGTTGCTACGCTTATCCATTATGTGTTGACGAATTTTTTGTAGGATTACATCTTTCGCCTCAGCCGGAACTCTTTTGTAATACGCCCCATTTCTTTGGCTGTTCATTTGTTCAGGCGCGTTGTGTTGGTTGAGATTGTCTACCGTTGTGAGTAGCCCGGTAGGAGGTACTTTATGGGGAACCCTCGCAGCGGGTCTATTGTACCCCCACTGTTTCGAGCCATCGCCAGAATAAACTGAGTCTTCCGCGTCTGATGACGATCTGTCGTGGTCACTGTAGTAATGTTGTCTGTCGGAGATGACGGATGACGGCGAGTTTGGTGGTGAGAAGTTAGGCCTGTCTGGTACTTGTATAGTGAGAGGTTGAGCAGTGATAAGTCTAGACAGATGACTGATTAAGTTTTGACTGACGTTGGCGTCTAAATCTGGCACGGACATGATAAACCGGCACGCTTCAGCGGCACATTGTCCGAAACCCGCTTGAAACTTCTTGGCTTCCAAAACCGGGTCTCTAGGGCTGTGCAACTTTGTGAGATGGTTAACGGTTAACTCAAGGATATCTGCCTTCTCCAACTTGCTCAGGTTGTCGTCATCGATCTGTGACAAAAAGAAAAAAGTGTGTAGAGTATAGCGCAGGTGCTCGGCGGTGTTCTCACGGTACGAGACGTCACATTATTATAACTGTGCATGTATGTGAATAAGCGACTCCTGTCTTTTAATGGAACTTGTACTTTTATATTCCAGTTTGGTGGCGGTACGGCTCATGATAAGTGCCCAGTAATAAACAGAAGGACGACCGGTTCGTGATAAAAATAAATGGTGTGTGAATGAATGATGGATTGCGTTTTGATGAACAGTAATAATGTAGGTACGATACTTTAATGCAAACACTGCAGGTAATGGAGTGAAGATAAAAATAGAAAATGATATCTGTACAATGGCATTATGTTTTATCTTTGATGGCACTCGAACATTTTTAGAAACACTTGAGCTAAATATAGTTGCCATGACATTGTACTTTTCGTTACATGTGTAAGTGTTTATTACTAATTTCTACTATTTTATTATACCTATGTAAGATTTCCTTGCTTCACTAAGATAAGTTGTTGTAATTAAGCAATCCACCAATTATTCAGACTGAGACATAATGTTACGAAGTTACCAGTTAACGCTAATCACTTTGTGTAAATCATTCGAGTAAACTAATTAGGGCAATAAATTAAATACATACCTCTAAAGCTCCGACCATAAGATCTTTAAGTTCGTCCAAACAGCGATTGATGCGCGCACGCCGTTTTCGTTCCAAAAGTGGTTTTGTAATTTTCTTGTATTTCGCCGTCTTCGACAACGGGGCTGGATCTGACATTTTCATATCTGACAAACAAATAATTAAATATATTAGTTTTATGTATCAAAAATAAATAACACAAGGGCATGATGAACTTCGGATTGTTAAAGTCACTTATGAATTAAATTGAGTACCTAAACAACGACAACAATTTACTCGTTGGTATGAATTTAAGGATAAAACAAGGTAAAATGTAACCTAACACCGAACGCATAAATAACACGAAATATCAAGAGGTAAAAGGATGCTCTTTACAACAAATGTGACGCTACATTACACGGTACACTGTGAAACATAATAATCAAAATATAAAATACTTACATGTAAATATTCGTTCACGTGAACACTAAATATACACTAAAGTTATGATCGGGTCACAGGAGCTCGCTAGCTAGGCACAGGACGCGCGTCACCGCCCGCGCCTCGGCTTCAACTGCCTGAAAAAAGCCTTCTTCCCGCCCCCGCGCGTCGCGGCCCTTACCCCGCCCTTCGCCCTGTCCCATTCATGTTGCGCGGGAGCACGTGTGGCCCAACGATCGAGTTTCAAGCATGCGTAACATACTTTCCCAGGGAATTCTTCAAGAACACTTTGGTTTTTTGTTTGAAATATTTTAATAACCGCCGGGTTATACACTTATAGCCCGGCTTTTAAGTCCAAGAGTTATTTTCTTGGCCTCTGTAAATCAGAGGGCACGTGGATACATTTTTTTCTTCAAATGTTACAAAGAATTTTGTGTTTCTTGTACACGAATGTGTGTACTCAAGTAAACAGGAATTTAATCTTGATTTGAATAGCAGGACATGAATTTGAATGATTTAAACACAGACTATGATTTAAACAGTTACAAATGTTGTTTAACAAATTGTAATTATTTACAACTCTTGTACCTATTTGTAATAATTCTCGGTGTTACAAATACATTTCGAAATAATGTTTGCCACCCAAGAACACTTTTCCTTTTAGCGGGACTGTATTCACAGTTTTGTACTACGCTATTGTTTACAAGTTAACAACAAACACAGTGCGCATAGTGTAAACAACAATATTTTTACAGCCTGTACCTAATTGTAAAGTAATTTGAAAACCGTTCTGTAATTAGTGGTGTACTGTTAACAGTTTGATCTTAGACTTTCAATCTCTCCGACGTTTGATTTTAGAAGTTTTTTTGCTGAAAGAAGATGACGTAGACAAAGGGCGGTGTGTTTGAAGGTTCTGTAATAAATGGCACGGTCCAATCTACGGCACAAGTTAAATGGAACTTGCGGCACAGATTTGAGCGGTATGCCTTTTCGGTGTGTTTTTTTTTGCTCTGCCGACGGCCAGGTAGTGACGCGAGCCAAAAACCCTCAACTTTTGTCATTCCGTACGTCGTTAAGGTCCGTTTAAAAACTATATAATTATATAGGTTTGAATTCTTTTGAATTTTTAATGTTTGTCTAAAAAGTTCGTTGTTTTTTATTGCAATGTTTTTTGAGCATTATTCATGGCTCAATGGGTGATAGATAATTATGTTAAATTAGCTGTGTGTTTAAATATGTTTTTAATTAGTATAAATGTTTACATCTGTTGTTGGGGTCATTATTTGTTGTTAGGTATTTATTAGCCTTATTTATTAGAATGTGGATCTGACTGCATCGTTAGTAGAGTGACTGCAAGCAGGACAAGCAAGGAGTTCAGAGTCAGGTTCGCGAAAAGTTAAGTTACTACTAGATTTTTACGGATTTTCGAAAATTTTGATTCCATGTGATTCTTAACAAAACTGGTGAAGAAGGATTTTTATGGCATACGCCGTTAAACGAGCAGACGGATCACCTGATGGTAAGCAATTGGCGTCACCCATGGACACCTGGAACACCAGAAGCATTAAGTACAAGTGCGTCACCGGCCTTTTGGGGATTAGGAGTATGAGGATTGTGGGGGATTCGGGGATTGGGGACATTGGGGAAGGGGGGAGGGTAGCTGGGCCTCCGGTAACCTCACTCACACGACGAAACACAACGCAAGCGTTGCTTTACGTCGGTTTTCTGTGAGGCCGTTCTATCACTCCGGTCGAAGCATGGCTCTCCTACACTTAAATCACATTCACATTAGATAGGTAAGTAAGTAAGTAAGTACGTGCACCTCTGCCTACAACTTTCTTGATGAAGCTAACAGCGATGATGTATGTTATATTCGAACACAAAGTTTACCTATTCTTTCTATATAAGATTATGGAATTATTATCGGGATGGATGATTCCAAAACAAATAAAAATTGACTCAACAATTTTAATTACCTAATGGTATGCAAATAATTATGAGGTCCTGCACTGTCTGCTATACCGAATAACTTGCTAGGTAATATAATACTTACTTATTTACCTATTTGAATATGGCGAGCTTAATTACCTAGCCAATTAATGGCGTCATTTAAAATTTAAATTTATTGGAATGCACATTTATTTAGGTATTTTATTTTATTACCATTAACTGGTATTAACATTGCATTATGAACGTTGATATAATTTTCATCACTATTTACTTTAATGACTTGATTTGCACAACACGGTTGGTGCATCGAACTTGAGTTTACTCAGCCCACGAATTTCCTATCACTCAACCAATGAAAAGGCTTAAAAGAATCATAAACATACCAACCAGACTTCTGTCCCTCCTTATACCAAACACTATCTATATACCAAACAAAACATAACCGTCTTTTGTTTATAAAATCGTTCCATACTCGACACTACTTTTCAAAACAATCGTATCACTTTAAAACCGAAAAATTAAACTTTCCCACCACTAGAACAGTTTACACTTACACATGTCGTGCATTTTAGTGATGCGACGTCATGACGTCGTTCTTATCGATACATTCTGGACTACTATTTGGTCTAGCGTTTACCGAGAAGTGCTTGCATAGATAAGTTGAAGACTAAACAATGACACATGCTCTTGTGTATGTGGGCCGTGTTTAATGTAGTTTTTTATCGAAATGACTTTTGTCCTGTGAAGTCACATTACTTTTATATTGTGTACTAGCGACCCGCCCCGGCTTTGCACGGGTGCAATATGCATGTATTATACATACAAACCTTCCTTAAGAATCACTCTATCTATTAAAAAAAACCGCATCAAAATCCGTTGCGTAGTTTCAAAGATCTAAGCATACATACGGACATACAGCGAAAGCGACTTTGTTTTATACTATGTATTGATTTGTCGATATTAATAAATCATGTTTTTTTTTAAGAGGGGAAAATCATCGTATGGCTGCTCCCGCCTGAGTGAGGCGGGAGGGAGTGTCAGACTATTACTGATTAAAAACCACCCCGTCCCTTCTCCTACACGTCGAGCCGGAGCCCCGATAACCCGTTAGATTCTCAGGGTTGTATACGGTGAAAGAAATCATTACGTGTAAGGAGATCGAGACTTATTATTTCAAATTTTGAGTTTGAAATCGAGCTAGTGTAGTGATTAATGCTCATTTCTTTTCCGTAAAAGAAGAAGTCTTTGCTCACCAGTTAAACGGTTAGAGATTAATAATAAAATTGGGTGAATTTGCACCGATATGATGGATTTGTGATAATCGTTTGCTAATTCGATTACGGAACAAAACGAAGGAAAAAGCTATAAGATAAACTAGTTTTTTTTAGTATTGTTAAATAATCGATCACGTCACTTAATCTCTGAGTTTATTTACGTAAACATGGTATGATTTTTCATAATTTTCCACTTGAAACTAGAGTACAAAGGTTCATCTATTTTTGTGAAGCACTGGATTATCATAGTAACCAATTTTAGATATGTCATCTATTTATAAACGACTGATAAAGATTAAACCGTTATCACCATGTGTGTCGAGAGACGTTTTATCATAATTTCTGTGGTAACCCTTAAATGCATAGCGATGTAAATTTCCATCGAAAATATTTTTTATATAATTGGGATGATGACAGGGTATGAAAATTAAAAATCGAATTAGTCCGTAACTTAAGTAATGAAAAATTATGTTAGGCACGTATTTTTTTACTGTGTCGTATAATAAAACAATACTTAGATAATACGAATCAAAGTTTAGGTGTGGAGGCTAAAACGTCATTTCTACGTATAAACTATACATAGAGGTGACGTCACGCGACATTTCAAATCGTCGAAAGGATTCGTTTCTATAAGAAAATAAAAAATACGTGTCTAATGATTTAAAATAATGTACCAGACGGACATTAAAATAAAAATTAGGTATTTACCTTATTAAGACACTTTTTGTACATGCAGCATAATTTTCTTATTAACTGACTTTAAAAAAGGAAGGGTCTCTGATTGACCTATCTATCTATGTAAGTATGACTGTATGTGTCGCGGAGAACCCAACGGGTTACCGGGGCTCCGGCTCCACGTGCAGGAGAAGGAACGGGGTGGTTATTAGGTCAGTAAGAGTCTGACTCTCCCTCCCGCCTCACCCAGGCGGGAGCAGTAATTCGATGATTTTCACCCCTTAAAAAAAATTATGACTTTATGAAGGTATGTTTGTGCGCAATTATCTCGCGATTAGCTGAGCTGATTTTGATACGGTTTTCAGCAGTGTTTGTCACACATAAGAGAAGGTTTTAATATATTAATCAACCGATTTAAAAAAATACAAGGGGAAGTTAAGTCAGTTTTTTAAACGCAGTTTATAAGAGAATTATTTTAAACTCTAATTAATAAATAAATATCAATACGGCTTTTCATTGAAAGTGTAGGCAGAGGTGCATATTACGGCCCTTAATGCCACTGCAATGTGACACCCACTTTTCACTATTTAAGTTAAAAGTCCGATGTTATAGGGGTGAGCCTATTGCCATTATTTTAAAATAATATTATACATATTTTAGAATCTATAATGAAAAAAATTCTAAGCAACGAAGGTTTTAATTTAAATTAATGATAACTAGGCTTATATGTCAATATAGGGGTAAATATTTATTTACCACAGATTTGTCATCATTTTTCAATGATAGTAGTAATCGTAGTTTATCTCAGCCATCTTAGCTAGTCTTGGCTAATCTATTCAATTGAATCAAATGACTGACTTGTTTGTCGAGTGGTTCTAAGAAACAGGTCTCGGGTTATATTCGGGTTGGGTATAATATTGAAAAATGACTTTTAGAAATACATCAATGAGCCTAGTGGCGTAAATGTCAATACCCTAACTCCCTATAGTCCCTTGGAGTCATAACATAACTGATCAAAACGGGCCTCTGCCTTTCTCCAGCTATACTTTCGAGCAAAAGTATACCTCTATTATTAACTCGTCGAGTACCGTATTTATAGACACAATTAAAGAACAATAGGTTGCGGTCACCGGTGACCGCTTGGTGTTTGACAGTTTAAGTAGGTATAATATCAGAGCCTGTCTCGAATGCAGCTATTTTACTTTACAAAATAGTATATAAGGT